CTATTCTCAAATTCCACACAACTAGGGGTGGCGTGAAGACGCTCGAGCTGTTATACTGGTAAGATGCGCAGGGACATACTTGAACAAGTGCCAAAGTTACGTTAAGAAGCCATAATATCCACGATCACCATACTAAACCTAGGCAGCAGAAAGAAGCTGTGCCTAAAATGGCCTCGCTCAAATCCGTAGAGGGATTGAAAGGGACGAGTTCTTTAGTGATGGCAATGTACTCCTCCTTCCTTTCTTTGGATCATTGTTAATCCAAAACGCTCCTAACGTTTTGCGCTCTCGGATTTCGGATTTAGAAGCTTTACATTCCAAGTTGTTCTCAGCGTTGTTGTGTCGAAGTAAATGCCAATAGTGAAATAAATGCATGTCCATAAGATTTAATAAGTATGCACATTTTCACACCAACTTACATAAGCTCGTTTATAGAAGGCAAAACATCCAATGGCTACAATAAGAGTCACAATCAATGGAAGGAGCATGAGGAATATCCAATAAGGAAAGTCGTCCTCGTCATCATCTGAAAGCGGAAGAAAAAGCGATGAAAATGATGGTGTAACCGCTTGTAACACAGTCATACATACGTATCTGATCTAGTCCTACTCCAGTTTCTCTTCGTGGAATTTCGCCTCCATGTGGCCGCTCCCCTCGTTTTGTACTATGTCGCTTATCTTTATCCTCCAGACGAGCAAAGCATGTAATACTTATTATGATCATCGTAGCCAACAAAGCACAGGATCAAGGTTAAAGAAGTAGTAGCTCTCTTATCCTCGATTCAAAATTCAATGTCGAGAAATTTCAACTAGTTTATCTTATATTTTGCGATAAATTTCTACATTGGTAGATCTGCTAAATCTTTTTTATTGCAGTAAGTAGACAATTAAGAAGTAAAAACTCTTATACCCAAACAAATAAACTGAAGAGCACTTAACAATTCGATAAGGCTGCCAACAATGTAGAAATGGCTTGCGCAAATTTTCAAATTCAATGCTCAATTTAGTAATTGCGAATCAGCTCATGTCCCGGATTTCTCGTGCTCATCCCATACTTTACCCGAATACTAGATTGTAGTTTACCTTGCCATTGTCTACGTTCGCGCCTATTTTCCTTCTCATAGTCTTCTGTCTGGATTTGAGTCCTTGGATATTCTGATACAGGGACGTCTTCAATGTCCTCGACACCAACATCCATTACAGGAATTAGCTCTAAAAATGAGTCATCTTTTGAGCTAGATCTAGTAGAGTCGATCTTCCATAAAATATGCCTAAATTCAGAGTTTGGCAAAATGTTAGATTGCTGCACCGTATTTTTGGTGCCATTATTCTCTGGTAATTTGTGCTATTTATCGGCAGCGGCTTTCTGTACTCCGATGTATTCTTAGAAGCGGCGTTCGAGCAGACGCACCTCGTATAGTGAATTTTCATACAGTGTACCAGAGGTAATGTTGTAATCAGCTGCTAGCTGAAATATGAGCGGGCGTTTGATAAGTTTTACAGTGCACCCAAGTAGGCTTGACATTCAACATAGTACTGCGAAACTGTAGTTTATAACATTCTAGAAAGAGTTATACTTTCTCAATTTCTAGACTGGATATGGGGCGATAAAAGATGTTATTTCTTCTATAACGGTGCGAGATATC